ATTTCTTTTAAGTATTTAGGTGTCTGGTTCGATTCCAAATGCACATGGGGAAAACATATTACGTATCTGAAACAAAAATGCCAGCAAAGGATTCATTTTCTTCGTACAATTACCGGAACTTGGTGGGGAGCCCACCTGATCAGGTTGTACCGAACAACCATCCTTTCGGTTTTAGAGTACAGCCAATCCAATCCGACTCATACGATGAGTCTCGAGGTACTCGCGGGCGTCCTTCCTCAAATAGATCGTTTCGCTAAACTGTTTTTTCCGGTTTCTCATCCGTTGTGCAGTACTGAATCCATTGGTAATAGAATACTTTGAGAAGCTTCTCGACAGAAATTCTCAAACAAGATTCATGAGTCTCTCTTTCTTCATTGATCTCCAATCGTGATTCCTTTCAAGCCTTCTCTAGTTCCTCTGTAAATTTTGATCTGACCATGATGCAAGAAATCCATGGAATACCAGATCACCATCGGTCGATGGTTGTTCCCTCAATTATTGCAATCAAGTACCATAATGTAAGTAACGATAAAAGATTTTTCACCGATGGGTCAACCATAAATGCTTCTACTGGATTTGGTGTATTTAATCAATTTCATATCGCCTCCTATAAACTGAAGAAACCATGCTCCGTATACGTTGCGGAACTCGCAGCTATATTTTACGCAGTAGAGCGAATTGCCTCACTACCTTCTGACCATTATTTCATTTTTACGGATAGTCTTAGCTCATTGGAGGCTATTCGTTCAATGAGGCCGATGAAGCACTCCTCGTATTTCCTGCCTGCAATACGATCTGAACTGAGTGCTTTATCTAACTGCTCCTATACTATCACCTTAGCTTGAAAGCGGACTCGTTGGCTAAGGTGGGCGCTATGGAAGGCGATATTTTTGAGCGACAAATCGCCTTCAACGAATTTTTCTCCATTGCTCGTCAGCAAGTCCTCATCAGTTGGCAACAAAAATGGAATGATGGTGAATTGGGAAGATGGTTACATTCTATTCTCCCACAGGTGTCGAACAAAACATGGTTCAAAGGGTTGGACATGAGCCGCGACTTTATACGCGTTATATCAAGGCTTATGCCCAATCACTGCTCACTAGACTCGCACTTCTATCGAATTGGGCTCTCAGGCAGCAATTTATGTGCGTGTGGCAGTGGTTATCACGATATCGAGCATGTTCTTTGGTCATGTACCTTACACCGTGTTGCCAGATCTGAGTTATCCACGTCCCTCAGGGCCCGAGGAAAACAACCCGCGATACCCGTTAGAGATGTCTTGGCGAGCCGAGATCTCGACTATTTGAATTTAATTTATGTGTTTTTAAAACGGATAGATCTGAGGATTTAGTAGTTAGTGTCATCTTGTGTTCTCCCAAGTTGTTAGCTGCCCATCGGTGTACCTCCATGTTTGTCTTTTTCATCAGAGTGTCGCTTAGTTCGAGATCATTGCACATTGCTCTCCAAACCTTGTGTTCACAATCCCCACCCTGCCATCCATTTGTTGCAATATGCTACCCCTAACCTCGAGATAGCCGCGAGTAATCGGCCCCCGGCTCCGCAAAGCAACAGCAAATGAGCCTGGACAAATAAACGCACTATGAAAAAAAAATGTTCTCAAATTTTTACGTTTTCCATCTGCGTGATTTAATAATTTTGAATAGAATGATGCTCCACATCAATACGAACTCAATTTTTGCAGATGAGCAGTTTGGATTTCGCTATTGTCATTCAACTACTCATCAACTCTTAGATTTACGGTTTAGCGACTTGCAGTCAATCTAATTGTTTATAAGAAAGCTGATCAGGCTGATCAACTAGAGTTGCTCTTCTAGACATAGAAAACGCATTCGACAGTGTTTGGCATGAAGGTTTGATTGCCAAATTGAAAAAGTTTAATTTTCCACTCTATATCATGAAATTAGTTCAAAATTATTTAACTGACAGAACTCCAAATAATTATCGAAATTCCAAATCTGAACGACTACCTGTTAGAGCAGGAGTTCCTTAGGGTAGCATTCTTGGCCTATATTGTATAACATTTTCACTTTGGACCTCCCTGATTTGCTGCAGGGTTGCCACAAATCTTTGTTCACTGATGCAAGACCAGAAAAAAAATAATCGAAAGGATTCAGAACAAAGTTCTGAAGATGATTTTGCAGGTGCCCCCTGGTACAGTAATACCGAGATACATAGAATTTCGAATGTTGAGACTTCAGTACAAATGTCCAACAAAATAATAAATAATTTCAGGCAAAAATCGTTGCAATCCTCAATTGCAACGATTAATTCCCCTATTTTTTCCTTGATTTGTTTTCCGTCGATCTTGTTTTCCGTGCTGAGCACCAATGCTACCGACGCGCCAGGAAGGCAGCTCCCACATTTGGATCCTACCTATCGACCCATCATCAACTCATGAACCGGGGACCAACGGCTTTACTTCCCTTCCATAGGAAGGTGTGATCAGAGATGTTATGCCTCAGAACATCCCGGATTGAACCCAGGCCTGCTGGGGTGAGAGGCAATCACGCTTACCACTACACCACCGGCGCCGCTGATTAATTCCCTTTATATTAAGATAATATTTAATTTTAGTTTTTAGTTTTAAGATGCCAATTGTTATACTGACATGTAGGTTTAGAAAACCTATTTAAAATACTGAATTGCCAAGGCAGGGACAATGTAAAAACACTTAGATATATATCATAACAATTAAGGCTCGTAAGTTACTGTAATAGCTGGAGCACCTAGGTTAAAAAGAAATGTAATTTATTTTGAATTTGAAACTAATAAAGAGTTATTAAAAAAAAGCCTACGTAAACAGTACCACTGAAATGTCATCCGATTGTGGTTAACCTCGACGGTGCAAAACCTTATAGGTATCATTTACAAATTATTTTCTTGTAGGTATATAAGATTTTATATGTTCTGCAAATTGTTCTGAAACTCACGTCAGATGGTACTAGGTTAACTTGTTCTTTCGCAAATTTATCAGCAACAACACTTCTAAAGATGTAAGATGTTCAAAGTTCTCCAAATTATCCTCGAATTCAGATCATATGTATCATATGTACTAGATCAAGCAGAACGTTCGAGATATCCACAGCAACGATGCATAACTAAGCAAACTTAAAATAACCTCATTCATAACATGGATGGATTTTACTGTAAAAATCAGTTATCTAATTACGAAAATCATTTGCATCATAGATTTAACATGGCGGTGATTCTGCAACAGCCATACGGCGATATGCAGGAATTATTATGCAACGTGGATAAGTGCTTGATGATGACTAGAAGTGTTAATATGAATGGAGTATTACGGGGTGTGCGCCAAGCATTTGGAGGACAATAACTCAAGGTGGACTTTCATCATTCAACTACGGCAAGGAATTCATAAAGCAAACAAAGGCAAACACGTAAAGGACTCGTTCTCAGAGATTGTACTACCAACGAAAACTCGAAAATCAACTAACATACAAACATACACAAATAAAACAAACAACAAAATTAAAATAAAACAGTTTTACTTTCTTGCTTTTTCGGTTCTTTTGCAGAAAAGGTGGAACCACAAACAGTCCTTAATCGCATAAGTACAATCAGAGCAAAAATAGAACATTCACACAAAACATAAATAAATCCTACACTAGGCTGCTCGCGAGGACTCTTTTCCTTTCTCGCTTTTTCTGACTACGAAATCGCACAACAGTACCGCCGACAGCAGTCAACCACTTTCCGATCGTTCCGCTCGGCCGTCCGCCGCTGACCATCTCCCCCGACAAGCGCCACTTCCTCCTTTCCCTGACTAGACTTACCCTGGGGATGCTCCTCCAAGGGTTGCAGCTCATCTCCCAACACTCCGACAGCCGAACTACTGTTGTTGGCGGCAGCAGCCTTGGTCAGCTGGTACGTTTTCCGCCGATCCGAGATTCGTTTAAGTTTCTCCAGACGGGACTTGAGCTGCCTAGGCGATACGCCACCGCTTCCGGCGGTGTTCTTCTTGGAAGAATTGGGCGCAACCGCGATCGGCTGTTTCGTTTCGTGCAGCGGTTGTGTGATGCCGTCTACTCTGTCGTCTAGCGGTTGGTCAGCGGTTTGAGATTCTTCATCGAATTCCGGCTTGCTATCGGCACTCTCCGGTGCCGGCGAATGAGATTCTACACTTTCCGGAGTGTACGGTTCGAACTGACGGTTGGCGCCTGCGGCGGAGGACGATATTCCTCCTGCGGTGGTAGTGTACGTGTTCAGGTAGTGCGTGTCGATGCGGTTGACAATGATATCGTTGGCCAGCATTAACCGACGGGAGATGAGCGTTTTGCGGTGTTCCATCGGTTGGTGCTTGATAATGTTTCGACAGTTGGGACAGATCTGCGGATTACCAGCACCTGGCCCGTCCACCTGGGATTGATCGAGGCAGCTTATCGATCCGGCTCGGCTTCGTCGGGATTCGTTACCTACTAAACTAAAGCTACTACTGTACAACGAACACATGCACATGTTGGCGTTGGTGTCCGTATCGAACACGCTGATACGGACCGGTGGAGGTGGTTTTGCCAGGGGGCTTGTATCGTTTGGGTTCCTTTTCGCCGGACTGACTTCCACGGAGCCGCCACCGTGAGAAACGGCACACGATCCGGGCAGAAGTTCCAGCTCCGACAGGATTTGATCGAATGTGGACTGAATGTCCTCGAAGCAGTACGAGCAGTGATGTTGGTTAGGAAGTGATGGGCTAGTAGTGAGGGTGCTGGCAGCAGTGCTCGTGCTAGTTAGGGCTTCGGAAGAAGGGATTTCACAAGGACGGTCATTGGCGATTGAGTTGTGGTTGTTGATGCTGTTGGCGACGTTGGCATTGTTACTACTGCTAATAAGTTTGCTAGCTAAAATACTACTGCAGCTATTGTGGTTGTTATTATTATTATTAACACTAACGGTACTACTATTGGAAATGTGTTCAACACGTCTATGCGCATGCGTATCACAGGAACAGTAATTTAAAATACCTTGACTCGTCTTGATTCGTATATTGAGATAGACTGGCTGAAAAGAAAACGGAAGAAAGATGGCAAATCATTATTTACAACCCGTCAAGATCCAAACAAAAAAGCTCCCCATTACCTTATGATCTCCCATGCAAACCACATCGCCCATGATCCCGTAGGTAGCCTTGGCCATCGTCGTCGTTTTGCCATTCTCCCGTTCGTCGTCGATAAGTTTACGTGCCGCGGGACTGATCAATATCCGGTCGCACCAGGCCGGACAGCGGGTGCTCATGTAGTCGCCCGGTTGCTCCGGTTCCTCCTCGTATGGATAGGAAGGCGGGAATGTGATCGGATACTCGTACAGTATGCTGCGCAGCGAGTCCAGCTCGCGATCGAATTGACGGAGCTGTAAAGGATTAATCAAATTTAGAAAATTATGCATTTAGAATTCGTAGGACAGGATGACCTACCCAACTCTCCTTGAATGTGCTCTGGTCGCAGTGGTTGAACTCCTTCTTGCCCACCGTAAGTACGTTGGCACCGTCCGAATCGCGGTAATGGACCTTGGTGCTGTCGCTTTTGGGATTCGGAATCCGATGCATCGTAAGATCCTCAGTCAGTTTCTGTGTGGCACGGAGAAAGATAGAAAGAGAGAGAGAGAGATATGATGTAATGCATGACTGGCAGCTGGGGCATCGATTGACGTCAAGACGCCTATAGAGTATCGAATTACATGCAATGAGGTAGGTATTAAGAAGCGGTGCAAATTGGTTGTAGACGAAAGCAAGTAGCACAACGTTCTGTTGGCGCTTGAACATATATTGTGCCTCAAAAGATGTAACTGACCTAGTCCTCCTAGATCCAGTTATGTCCTACATACAAAGAAAGCAGTATATGGCTTCCGTCGTCGTGTGCTCGACTTCTAAGCTTTGCTTTTTACTTGAACCATGAAATCACAGCAAGGAAACGTGGCGATGGCCTTTAACGTTGTGTGTCATAACAACCTAGATTCGCGACTGAATCATAGTGCACAAGTCAAATACAGCACTTCCCTGCAATCATACCTTTCAACCAGAACTTTAAACCATAGCCAATTCAGCACATCCGTTGGTAGATTCACGAGAAACGCCAACAACAACATCAAAATGAACTCATCGTAGCAGACGATATCAACATGTAATAAGACACAGCAGCACTGACAACAACAACTGCAGAACTGCAACCCAATAGCATAATCATATTTTTGTATATCCAACCACGAGGCAACCATCCATCAGCGATAACGAGACGGGTAGCAGTAGACGACAATTCATGGATAGTACATAGGTAAGTAATAATTCGCATAGGGGAAAAGTTTTCTTCGGCAATACCTTAACCTATTATCGTCAGGGGGTAAACAAAGTCCTAGAGCACTCAAATTTGGCCAATAGTTGCTCTGAAACACAATGTATCCACATGCCAAAATTGAGCTCTCAAGGACGTTGTTTACCCCCCTGACGATAATAGGTTAAGGTATTGCCGAAGCTAACTTTTCCCCTACTTAGTGTTCAAATGATAAATCAGAGTTTCAGAATTTTCTCACTACGCGGTGTTAGTGCACAAGCTATCGGAAATTAATGTCCGACAACATTTTGGAACTTCTATTAAATTTCCATAATGCCGTACTCTAGTGGAACTATCTACCTACCCTTTTCAGACCTTTCTCTAGGCTATAAATTATCCCACTATAGCTTCGCGTTAGATAGCATTTCCAACCAGCTCTGGTATGTTTTGTAAATGTTTTTAGAACATAGGGTTCGGTCGAGAAACTCTATGGTTTTGTCGTTCGGTTCTCGGGTTAAAGAGGGAAGAAATCAAAATACTTCAGTGCCACATAGGGTGAGCATGTACGGTCGTCAAGGTCAGTGACTTGACGCTCGCACAGAAAGTTGTGGACGATCATGACGGAAAATATGAAGTGGAGTGTGGCGAGGGGAAGAAACTCAAGCTTCGGATTACTTTGGAAGATGGTGGTGTACTCGAAGATAAGGTCGTCCATTTCCTAAGCGGGTTTGGTGAAGTGATCTCGACTCGATACCGCTCGGCATAGCTCTGTTGTATGATACTGGAGTGGAACATTGCCTCGTGGGTCAACATCGACGGAGAGCAAGCGTTTGTTGTCTACAAGGTACAGCTGCTAAAGGGTGATACGGTCAAAATTTGGTCAAGGGAAAACGCGTGTAAATCGGTGAAATCGTTTATTTAAAAAATCAAATTAAATTTCTTTTTCAAGTTCAATTAGTATAAAATTCAGGAAAAATATTCAGTTAGGCTTCCGCTTTTCCAAATCCGAATTGCCGGGCCTTACGCTTGACCCCTGCCATCAGATTTTGTACAGCCACCTTGTCCACCTTCTTCGCCGCAGAAAGCCAGTTTGCCTTGAACTGCTGCTCGCCCTTAGCAGTTTTTTTGGTCTTCTTTAGGTTCCGCTTGACAATAGCCCAGTATTTCTCAATTGGGCGGAGCTCTGGCGTGTTGGGGGGGGGGGGGTTCTTGTCCTTGGGAACCGCCTGCACGTTGTTGGCGGCGTACCACTCCATGGCCTTTTTACCGTAATGGCAAGATGCCAAATCCGGCCAAAACAGTACGGAACAACCGTGTTTCTTCAGGAAAGGCAGCAGACGTTTATTCAAACACTCTTTCACGTAAATTTCTTAGTTGACAGTCCCGAAGCTATGAATATGCTGCTTTTCAAGCCACAGGTACAGATGGCTTGCCAAACCAGATATTTCTTTGCGAACTTTGACAGTTTCATGTGCTTGAAAACATCTGCTACCTTTCCCCTTCCTTTTGCCGTATAAAACTTCTGTCCCGGAAGCTGCTTGTAGTCGGCTTTGACGTAGGTTTCGTCGTCCATTACCACGCAGTCAAACTTCGTCAGCATCGTCGTGTACAGCCTCCGGGATCCCCCTTTGACCGTCGTATTTTGTTTATCATCGCGATTTGGAGTCACTACCTTCTTGTAAGTCGATAGTCCGGCTCGTTTTTTGGCTCGATGCACGGTTGTAGACGATACACGGCATCTCGGAGAGAGAGGTTAGGGTTTCGCTTGAAACTACCGGCAACTCTCTTTGTCGTCTCAGCGGCTTCCGGTTTTCGATTTCCCCCTGATCCAGACTTCCTGGCTGTCGACAAACGTTCCCCAAACACTTTAATTACATTTGTAACGGTTGATTTGGCAACTTTTAGCGATTTTGCCAACTTTGCGTGCGAGTAGCTCGGATTTTCGCGATGCGCGAGCAAAATTTTGATACGCTGCTCTTCTTGCTTGGACGGCATTTTGACAACTGAAGAGTGAATTCCAAAATCAAAATAGGAGCAACATTCTACACACACACATCTTCAAAATGAGGGGTGTTCAGGTTTTTTAAATGCAAAATTGAAAGAAATACGTCAAGTTGATATTGACCAAATTTTGACCGTATCACCCTTTATCCTGCCGCCACTGCAAAGATCAAGCGCAAACTGGCATATCATGTGTCCAGAACAAAAAGCTAATATTCCAGAAAAGCTACGCGAACGTGACGAAGCAAACTGGACCGGCCAATAGGTCAACCACCGGTCAGCGACCTAAGAAACCAGTCAAAAGTCCCCCGCTCTATCATCAATATCGTCGGACGCCTTTCCCGAACTGCTGAAGTTCACGAGCCAGGGTGATTCCTCTGGCCCGAAAACGCACACCAGCTGCCAGCCTACAGCAGGTGCTGTGTCCTCATGTCCGCAAATTCAATGAGTGCAAAGTTCGTCAACGTCCTTCCTAAAGCGAACCTCACACGTATCAATATATTGACGCGAAGGAGAATTATTGAAAATAATATTGTTGATGTGAATTCACAAATACTGTCACCGATGTATTGGCGTCAATATAAAATATATTGTAAATATGATTATTATTGATCCGCAAACTGTCGTGTGTTTGGAAGACTCGAAAATGCGTTGCGATCGCAGAGCAAGACTGATGAATTCTCCACTTCCACGAGCAGCTGACGAAGCCGAGGACAACCCGCTGGTAAAAAAACCCCGCCGGGATGACGACGACGGCGAGAGGGACAACATCTCGTCCATCAACATCGGTGCCATCACGAACTCCACGAAACTGAGCGCGCTCCGAACCTTCATCGACAGCCATAGCCTCGATATCGTGTGTCTGCAAGAAGTAAAGCACGAGCAGCTCTCCTTGTCTGGGTACACCGTTTTCTTCAATGTGAACCACACGAGAAGGGAAACAGCTATTGCTCTGAAGGAACACATCCAGATCCAAGTCACTCACATCGAGAGAAGCTTGGACGGCCGACTGCTTGCGCTGAGAGTGCAAGACACGACGATCTACAACGTTTACGCTTCCTGCAGTTCTTCGCTACGCGCAACTCGGGAGAATTCCTACAATAGGACGCTTGCCTACTATCTTCGCCATCGTACCACGCATGTCATTCTGGTTGGCGATTTCAATTACTTGCTTCAGCGAACATGCTATTCGAGCAGCCCAAACACGAGTCCCGCCCTCAAAACAGCCGTCCAGCAACTGCAGCTCCACGAAGAATGGGAGAAACTGGGTCCGCGTGATCCTGGTTTCACGTACGTCTGCCGTAACGCACAGTCACGACTCGATCGAATTTACGTCAGCAGTGGTTTGCGCGATCACCTGCGAGTAACACATGTCTACATCAGCTCATTTACCGACCACAAAGCGCTTACACTCCAACTTTGCCTCCCCCATCTTGGTCAAGAGCATGACCGTGGCTTTTGGTCCCTTCGGCCCTATCTTATGACTGACGAAAACGTTGCAGAGTTCCAATACCAATGGCAATATTGGACCCGGCTGCGCAAAAACTATGTGTCCTGGATCGAATGGTGGATTTTGTTCGCTAAGCCCAAGATTAACAGGTTTTTCAAGAGGAAATCTCGAGCCGTCTTTGATGAATTCCACAGTCAGCATCAGGTTATCTACAGTGAGCTACGGCATGCCTACAACGGGTACTACCAGTATCCTGAAATGATAACTATTTACCATCAACCGGGTAAAGCTGAAATGATAGCGCTTCAACAGAGATTTTCCTATACGTTCATGTGAATGAATGAAACGCACGTGGCGGGAGAACCCTTGTCAATTTTCCAGTTGTGGGAGAGGTGAAGGAAGAGAACCATCATCACGCAGCTGCAGGCAGAGCAAGACGAACCTTTAGCAGAGCAACGAACGATAGAGACGCACATGATTAGCTATTTCTCGACGCTGTTTGCGGAGGAGGCAATAGGAGAGAATGAGAACCGTTTCGTCTGCGAGAGTGTTATCAACCGGTGGAAGCTCCCCGTCTCGATGAGTCTCATCGTCGCCCACTGGTCACCATAGCCGGTCAAACTCCAGACGAATCTAGAACCACACTACCGTTCATACTGGCGACATCGCTCTGATGAGATAACGAAACCCTACCCCCAAGCTCCTCCCCTTTTCCTATCGTTCGACACTGTACCCCTCTAACCTCGAGTAAGCCAAGAGTATTCGGCCCAACTCCTACTAGACATAGAATTAAGTGAATTTTGTTACAAACAAAGAACAATGAATTATCGGCTCCATAAAGCTAACGCG